GGAATAGAAGAAAAAAAACAGGGTCCACCTAAGATAGGTGTGAGCAAAAGATTCCTCCACCTACCCTCACAAACGTAAAGCTGGGAGTGCAAAGGGTTCAGCCCTTGGTGTAAGGATACAACAAATAAACTCACTGCATCCTAACCCCAGCCAATCACAACGGCTATGAACTACCTTAGGCATTCCTCCTATCCCAGGCTGATGGGAGGAATCACAGGGAGCCATAAACCATCTCTCTATTTGCAGTCCAAGTTCGCACTACCTGGGTGGTCAGAAAAAAAGCTCACGCCACGAATGTAATTTAAGTGATCCTACATTGGTTGCACAGTATCTGCAGGAGCCTGTCAGAACCCAATGCAAATCTGCTTTGAAGCAATTTACAATCAACTCAAGCCTCGGGGAACTCCCAAAGGGAAAAAAAATCCCATGAAAATCAAGAGTTCATAATACAAAATGAACAGAGAGGGAAACAAAGCTGAACCTGCAGTTATAACCGACAGCAGAAACAGACTTGCAAAGACTTTGGATAGAACTGTCACATACGCTATAAAACACACCTAGCATTTTCTTAGTGAATAATGGTATGGAGCATCTTCACTAGTTTACTTGCTGTCTTGTGTCTTCTTAGCTGAAGAAACTTTTTAAATCTTCACATTAAAAAAAAAAAAGGATTATTTTTCTTCCTGTTATTAAATAAGAGTATTTTTTATTTGTTCTGAATAGAAGCCTTTTCCAGGGATATGTGTGTAAAATATACGCCGGCTTGTGACTTGTCATTCAAGACATGAAATGAGAAAAATGCCTGAAATAAATTAATGGATAGATGTTAATTCTCTAAAAGTCCCAGATTTAAATGAAAGCTAAAAGTATAAAATTTCTAGAACAAAATTAGTGACCTTGATTTTGCTAGACATCTCTCAAACAAAAACCAAAAATGTACATACAATTGGATTAAAAAAGACTTCATTAAAATTAAAATATTTTACTCTTCAAAAGATCCTGTTTTAAAAAGAATGAAAAGACCAGGCAAGGTGCAACACATGCACCATGCAGTGTAATTCCAGCACTTAAGACACTGAGGCAGGAGGATGACTTTGACTTTGAGGTCACATAGTGAGTTCAAGGACTGCCTCAACTACCTAGTAAGACCCTGTCTCAAAAGCAAACTAACAAACAAACAGAATGACAAGCCACAAACAAGTGTATGTTTTACACACATATACTTGGAAAAGGCCTTCTATTCCAGACAAATAAAAAGTTCTCTTATTTAATAATAGGAAGAAAAATAATCTATTTTTTTAAGTAGGAAGATTTAAGCAGTTACTTCAGCAAAGAAGACACAAGACAGCAAGTAAACCAGTGAAGATGCGCCATACCATTAATCACTAAGAAAATGCAAATTACAACCACAGTGAAGGAACATTACACATCTATTAGTATAGCTAAAATTAAAAGAGCATAATTTTATAATTCCATTAGGATATGGAGAAAGAACTGCCAGTGAAAACATACAACTTCCTTGAAAACATTTTAGCAGTTTCTTTAGTTAATCAGACACCTACCACATAACAGTATTTACCAAACAGAACTAAAAGCTTAAGGTTACAAAAATGTCCCAAAATGCTTATGCTCCTTTATTTTAAGAACCAAAAACTAGCAACAACCCTAACATCCAACAATTGCAGAATAAATACATTAATTATGACACAGTTGTATAATAGAATACTTGTCATTTTAAATTTTTCTCTTTTTTTGGCGGAACCAGGGATTGAACTCAGCCCCTTGCGCTTGCAAGGGAAGCACTTATTCCACTGAGCCATCTCCACGGCCCGTCATTTTAAAAAAAGAACAAATCAGGGGCCAGAGAGATGGCTCAGTAGAGTAAGCACTTCCCTGGCAAGCGCAAGGACCTGAGTTCAATCCCCAGTTCCACACACACAAAAAAAAGACAAGACAATAAATCATGTATATGCTGCTAGATAGATCAATCTAAAAATAATTATGCCAAGTGAAAGAAGCCAGTAAAATATATGTACAATTCCATATCTACGTGTACAAAAGACAAACTATAACTTTTTATAACTACAGAAAGCAAAGCAGAGGTTCTGGGGGAAAATGAAGCTAGAGAGAGAAAGGAAGACTAAAGGAACTCAAAGAAATTTGGCTAATAGGTATGTCACTATCTTGATTATAGTCATAGTTGCATAGGAGTACACGTGTCAAAACTCAAAATTGTAGAATACACGCGCAATTTCTCACATCAATTATCTCTTAATAAAACCGAAAAACTAACAACAGAATTTCTAAAAGACAGAGATATTACAACCAAAATTAAAAATTTAGTGTCTGGGTTTGACAAACAAAGGAAAAGCTAGTGAACTGGAGAAAAGAAGTGAAAAAATTAACCATGAAGCAGGCCGGAGAGACATTAAGATGGAAAAATCAAGAAACGTTCAATCCATGGAGATGGTGTGAAAAGGCTGAACAGAGATCAATTTTATCTTGATTTTTAAAACTTAGTGAATTGGAAATTGGTACTGCTTAGACAGCTGTGAACGGTGCTCGCTCGCTTCTGCAGCTCACATGCTGACGATGATGTGGACAAAGAATGCTCCTGCCCACAGCCATTCTGTGTATGCAGGAGTGTGGATGTGACAGCTCCCAGAAGGCAAAGGCCTGTGAGTAGGCAATTTTACTAGTTTATCAAATTATGCTCTGGAGAAGCAGCAACCTGTCGCACTTCCACGATAATGTACTCAAGTACCTCTGCCCACACTGACACAACATGTTACTAAGCTGCATTTCTGCCAGTCTCATAGTACAGTGTGGTATCTTTTTAAAGTTTCGATTTGTAATCTTTATTGTGAATGATAAAAATCTGTTCATATGATAAAAATCTTACACAGTATTGAAAAATTATTTTAATCTTTTATGATTTGTGTTCTTTGTGTTGGTTTACTGTTCTTTTTATTACTGATTTCTAAGAGTTTTTTATATAGTCTATTTAGAAAAGCAGTGTTCTGCCGATTTTGTAGTTACATAATTTTCTTCTCTGTTGTCCTGTGGATTTATTTATAGTCTTGGTCATACTTAAAGCCAGAAGATGAACTGGGAAAATCATTTGCTACAAATGTATACACATATATAACTATCAGTTTGCCCAAGATGACACTGTCCTCAACTCATTTCACAATAATTTCAAATATATGTAAATTGTATTTATGATATAAACATATACACTTTAATAAATACTGTATTATTTCTTAAAGCTGTGATTTTATTATTTATTAAAGCTTTGATGTTTTGCCTTAGTATATGTTACTGTACTTTTAATACTCCTAAAACTCCTATGATGTAGGTATTCTTCTCTTCATTTAAAAATGAGGTGAAAAGTGAAGACAAGAGAAAATAAGAAACCCTTCCAAATGCGTAACTAGAAAATGATGAAAACAAAAGATAATACAGGTTTGTCTGACTCTGTGGCTCAAATGTTCTTGTATATGATCTAAAGTTCAATAAAGGGATATTCTCCATCAAATTTGGATGAAATCTGACACATTTCCACTAAACAACTATATTTGAAATTTGTATTTACAATCACTACAAATGTACAGAAGACAGTTATATCAATTAATGTAAACTAGTAAAGTTTTTCTTTAAAAAAAAAAGGGGGGAGGGGGAGTGAGCAGAGGCATTGCCAAAATAAACAATAAGTTCCATCAAGGGTCTGTACAGCATTCCCAAAAGGACTGGACGTGGGCTGGGAGATAGCTCAGCAGTCTAAGTGCCGACCTGGCAAGCACAAGGACCCAGGTTCGATCCCTGGTACAGCATGCTGTGCCGGCCTAGCCCTGAGTCCAGGTGTGGTGACACATGCCTGCAATTCCAGTGCTGGGGAGGCTGAGACAGGAGGATCACTGTGAGTCTGAGCTGCGGAGTGAGACCCTGTATCCAATAAATAATAAATATTAAAAGGAGTGAATGCAGGGTTGCAGTTCCCAGAACAGGGACAACCCACAGTGTTCCCCAACCCAGCTAGAAAACAAAGAGGGGACAGAGCACAGGAGGAAACACATTTCCCTGGCACCTGTTTGTATGAACTTCTCCTACCCTCTAAGGTCACCCAAGTTTTTCCTCACTTACTCTGCTTACAGTCTTAGCACATAAAATACTAAATATCTGCCTCTCCCTCCTGCCTGCCAAGGAATCCTAGTAGCCTCAGCTAAATTTCACTGTTTTGCTGATCTTCTTGGTCCCCTGCTTGTCACCATGCAGAGGAAAATGGCTCACGAGTTCTTTCCCCAAAATCATCATCCACTACATCTACCCTTTCGAAGAAAACCTTTCAGCACTATCCTATTACAGTATGGAAGAGGCACAATGGACTTTTGAGGTCCAAAAAGAAACTAAGGAAACAATGGAAAATGAAAGAACTTCTATAGATAGAGGAGCAGACGAGGAGAAACCGGTCAGGCTAATCCACAGCTATCCAGGAGGTATCTGTATACCTACATAAAATGAAAATTTGTAACAAGGAGACAAAGGCGAATGGGACATCAGAAATACTCTTTTAATTTATAAGATATACTTTGGCTCTCAGTTCTGAAGGGCAACGATGCACAGATTTGGAATCTCCTGGAGTAGGCCAAGTTATCCAGCCTAACCATACCTGCTAGCCTGGTACATCAAACTACTTATCAGTCAATACTTACCAAGAGCCCTCACCCAGAATATGCACAGCCTGGAAGATCCCATAAGAATGAATGAGGCCCAACAGGCTCTCTGGGAGAGTTTTCAGGACATGGTTCTGCTCTAATCATTCCTGTCCTAAATCTCTCCACAAAAAAATTTAAATCATCCTGCACAGCTCTTACCACCAGCAAGAAGTATGTTGGGGAGAAAACAAGACATATACACTAAAAAGAAAAGGAGAATTCAACACCAAAGGTGCTTCAGAAGTTGGGCCTCTCCAAGGAAACAAATATCCCTAACATCCTTACCAGTAAACAACATCCAGTGGTGCAAAGTAATTTTTCATTATCAGGTCAGCGAAGTAAGCTTCAGTTTCCCGGCAGGCAGTTCCATTTCCAATCACCACCGTGCTGCAGCTTCAAGGGAGAAATAGAATGAGAAACTGGATGAGTTCAAGGTATGTTCTGAAATCAACCACAGAAAATGTACAGAATGCACAAATACTTTTATACAATGCTTTTATTCCCTCATGCATCCAAGCAACCTCTCCATTATCTCACAAGGTTGACAGACTTCAGGAAAAAACAAGACAATGCCTTACATTCAGAATGGAGAACAGTAGAGAAGCAGTACACTATCATACAATTTCAAGAATAGCTAGTCTGCTTCACTACCATCCACAGGAACCAAAACTACAGCCACCATAAAAAAGTAAACACCGGACCCCTTCATGGCCATCACTGGAGCTGTGGCAGCTAAAATGAAGTTCAATTTGTGACTCTGAGCCAAAAAAAAAAAAAAAACAACCCACAGTAGAGGGCATCTCAATGCACCTGGCCACATTCACAGACTCTGTTGTCCTCACTTTCCAAATAGCTGAAACACAAATACAAGGTTCCATCTATGCCCCTCCAAGAGCATGATGAGGGTCGGGTTGTGCGAGGGCACCATAAACGTCAGCCAGTTGGCAAAGGAGTCTAGGTTTACAGGAAGGAAAAATACGTGACCTAAGGGCCAGTGAGACTACCCGGCCGAGGAAGGCGCCTGCTTTGGCAAGTGCAGGGACCAGGGACCAGGGACCAGGGACCAGGGTTTGAGCCCCAGTACCACACACCATGCCAACCACACACGCAGGGCACGCTGAGCTGGCGACCAAGTCAGGGCATGGTGATGCAGGCCTGTAATCCCAGCGCTGGGGAGGCTGAAAACAAGAGGATCACTATGAGTCCAATCTGTACCAAATACATAAATGGAAAAAGAAAAAAATACATAATCTACAGTGAACGGATACAGCGGGGAAAGGCAAATGGCACAATGGTCTGCATGAGTACTCACCCCAGCAAGATGATTATCACCACACTAACACTAGAAAAAAAAAACCATAAAAAGATCCTACAGCAGAAACTCAAATCTCAGAAGAAAAGGGCAAAGCAGAAAATGAAAAGGGCAAACACAAGGAAGACACAGTTGGGAAGATGCAGGAATGAAGGCCTCTTACACAGAACTTTAATTAAAAATGGCTAAAATAAAAAAAGAAAGGACATTGGAGCATTCTAAGCCATAACAAGGACACTATCCCGACTCGTATGGTATGTTGTCTTGGCAATCTTTGAAGCTTCTATTACCTCATCCAACCCTCAGAGAAGGAAGGGAAGGAGAAAACAAAGAAGGAGGCCAGTCATGGTCAGCCAACCAGAAGAACCAGGCTCTCACGCTTGCCCACTGCCCGCCCCTCTGGGAGGGAGCAGAGGAAGGGAGCCTGGCTCCTCCGGGACTATGCAGACTATGCGGAGTCGGCACTCCACCCCAGCAGGGCTTCACACAGCTCTTCCTCTCTCAGCGAAGGGTCTCCCGCAGCCCCTCTCCGACCTTGGGTCCTCAGAGTGCTTTCTGACAGTGCAGCCACCGAAATACTCAACGATTACTTATTCACGTACTTGAAATTCAGCAAAAGCTTCTTTATTTTCTCTGCCTCTCGGAAGCCTTGCCCACAATGCAAGTAAACCACATCAGTATGAAGTATCTGACCTTTAAAAACATGGAAAAAATAAGCAATTTTTAAGAAGTTACAAATTATAACTTACTAATGTTTTGAATAAGCAAATTGTAACCGAAAATGGGATTGGCTTGTCTTTCAAAACACAATCTGAATCATTCCCTAGGTCAAATGCTCTCTAAGGACTCTGAAGTAATGCTACTTTCAAAGCCACAAGGATTCTACTTAGCTACTCAAAGCCATTATTAACTGTACACGATTCTGTGATATCTAAAAGAGAAATGTTTTTCAGTAATACCTAACATTAATCACAGTAAAAGTTAACGTTTACTGAAGCCTCACTAAATATCGAGCATTCGTGATACTATCCTTTTTCTTCTTTTCAGTTGCACATATATGAATTTACTTACCTTATGTAATTTTTGAGCTGTGACATTGTTTTATACAGAAAATATTTTATTTTAATTAAATGCACTCAGAATTTCAGGATAATCACTTAATAAAAACAAACGAGCTAAGTAAATAACTTACTATGTTATGAAATGAAAAACAAAATAAACACAAAGAAAACAAATGTAGAAAATAATAGTTAAAAACATTAATAAAATGGGTAGAGGTAGACACAACAGAAAAGATTAAGAAAATTTATACTAAAAGGAAACTGGACACAGTGGCACGTGCCTCAAGAGGCTAAGGCAGGTGGAGTGCCAAAATTTTGAGGCCAGCATAGTCCACCAGCCGAGGCTGCAAAGTGAGTTCAAGGTCAACCTCAACTACAGAGTGAGACCTTGTCTTAGAAAGAAGAAAAAAAAAAAAAGTAAAAACTACTTAGAAAATACATATTTTTAGCAATGCTAGTCAAGAAGAAAAAAAGACACAAATACAAAGACAATTAACTATATGATGAGACATATTCCTAAAAAAATGTTACCAACAGAGACTAAGAATATTTGTGTTTAACATTTTCAAAAAAAGTATTCTATAAGCAATACAATACTGAAAAATGAACTACCAACATATCCAGAATCCTAAGTATCAGAACCCTGTTGAATTTATCTAAACAAAGTATAAGTGTTATTTTTAAAAGCCTAAATAATATAATTCATCTCTGCATCACAATAACAGATAAAAAGTCACACAATATCTCAACAGATGCAGGGAAAAATGTTAAAACATATTCCATTTATTATAGAAATGGATAGCACAATAGAATAATAAAGTGAAAGTCCATGACCATATCTATAACAAAGGTAACAAAACATCTCACAAAACCTAACACCTGAACCAGTAGGAGCAACTCACTGACAGCTAACAGACACACTGGCATGTGGGAAGGAAGGAAGGAGGGGAGAAGAGACAGAGAATGTGACGGTACTCAGAATGGAAGATCCCAAAATCTTTTTTAAAAGCCCTTCATTGAAACGTACAGTGCCTGGAATAGAGCTCAGGAGCCTAAATGCCTGCCTCGCAAATGCAAGGTCCCGAGTTGGATCCCCACTACCACAAAAAGGGAAAAAAAAAAAAAAAAAACCACCAAAAAATTGTGGCAATTAGCTAGAGAATAGACACAGAATTTGGGGAAATTCAGCTTGGCCAGTTAGTTCTGGAAGATCTAGGAAACGCAGCCCTATGAACTCCTGAAACTAAACGGGAAAGATCCCTCTCAAGGAG